ACAAACACAACAGCTTTTTAGGTCTAATATGCTCTTCTGTTTTAGTGAGTGAATGTTTCCTAGGCACCGTGTAAACATCTCAAAATAGTATTTATACCACCTAATCTTCAGACCTACTCTGACTTTTTCTTAGAGAGTCAGTTTTGCTTTTTCATTCATTTGACTTTTATAAAACTAGAGCCTCACCAACTTTCTCAGCAAACAGGAAAATATACTTCCAGGCAAGATTTTATGATATATTTGCATCTTGGCCAAGTACACATGGGCATGTCGCTAATGTTAGTTTTAATAATACACAGGCTATAACAAGTCTTTTAATTTCTGTTCAAGTTGGTAATTTGACACGACAAAAATCAGAGAAGGGAAAAGTGGTAAAGAAAAACTAAACTAAACTAAAATAAGGGTATTCTCAAGTTGAGGAGTCAATGTAGAAAAGAACAGATATTACTAGATGTATGTAACCAATTCATTTCTAAGAACAACGATCAAAGCCACATTTAGTATTTTTTTAATATAAAGTAACATTTTAATTTGATAAGTTTTCAAAACTGAGGCCAATAATAAATATGCCTCTTTTTGTACTCACCAAAGTCTTCTTAACAAAGAAGTAGATTGTTTAAAATATTATTTGTATATCCTTTTTTCTTTTTTTGGCTGCACTGCACAGCATGTGGGATCTTAGTTCCCCTACCAGGGATCAAACCCTCGCCCCCTACTTTGGAAGTGCAGAGTCTTTACCACTGGACCACCAGGGAAGCCCCTATTTGTATATTTTTATAACCTCTTCATTAGCGAAGAAAGTGATGGGAAAACACAATAAAAAGTTAAATTACAAGTGAAGGATAATGTATACTACTAATAGAAAAGCCAAGAAAATATTTGGTTGTATCACAAGATTTGCTCTCTCGACTAATTTCATTATAAAATAGATGTTCTGTTAATAAGGGAAAAATTAGAAAAAAGGGAAAGCTGTAATTAATTTTAAAACATTTTCTAAAATAATCCTCATCAATTGTTGATATTTAACTTCTAAAAATCCACAGGGGGGGGGAAAATCCACAGAATAGAGGGACTTCCCTGGTGGTCCAGTGGTTAAGACTCCTCGCTCCCAGTGCAAGGGGTTCACGTTCCTGGTCAGGGAACTAGATCCCACAGGCCACAACTAAGGTTTTCATGCTGCAATTAAAGATCCCACGTGCCCTCAACTAAAGATCCTGCACGCAGCAACAAAGATCCCACATGCTGCAGCTAAGACCCGGCGCAGCCAAATAAATAAATAAATATTTTTTTAAAAAATAGTTGTTCTGCTTGTCCAAAACCACTAATAAAAATAAAGATACACAGAATAGAATAAAAGTTATTCTTCTGTTTTATAAGAAACCAACCCCTGTTTATTTTTGTAAGACAGCTAATCATATATGTTCCTTGTCTTCTCATTTAAAAGACTTTTCTCCCCAAAGCTCAAGAAGACTTCAATGTGTGAGCCCTCTTTCTTAGTTTAATAAGAGGTTATTTCACCATCAATCTCACTTGGGAAACTACAAGTACAAACACTTTACACTGTGTTACATCTTGTAAAATTCTGGAGTAATTTTGTAATTAAATTATACTTCAAGAATTATACTTCTGGATTTTACCCTCCAAGTATCAAGCACCCTCCCAAACCCCCCCATCCCCCAGATGGCTGAAGCACAATTCTAAGGCCAATTTAGTATTAATGAAAATATTTTATCAGATTACTTCCTAAAAACATTCCAATATTTAAGTCTTTGAGACAGCCTAGCAAATCCAATTGCATTACCTCTTTATCTTTTAGTCCCAGGAGCAATACTTCTTCCATAAGCGTGAGGCGGATATCCTTAGAGTCTTCAGTGTCCTCATTGTCTTGACTTCTGTCTTGATTAGTGTCTTCCTCACTTTCCACCTTCTTTTCAGAGTTCTTCCCTCCTTCTGTACGACGGGCCCGGTGAGTTAAAGTGGTCATTCTTACCTGTCTCTGGAGGGGGTGATGAAAAAATATCTATATGTGTGCTTATGTAAATAAACATCTAGATATTCATACATGCATACTAAAAATGTATACAGGTAAGAAATACTTACAAACTTAAATAAAGAAAGGAAAGAGTAATGACCAGAAAAAATTAGGTGGATAACAATATCTTTTCCAAAGTACAATAGGTTGAACTCCACTGGAGGCACTGACAAGAAATCAAATCATTAATTCTAAAGACCAGTAGAAAGGACCGACTTTTAAGCCTGCTGATTTCTTGTGCATAACCTAATCACATAATCATTGCGATTCCTTTCACAAAATGGATTCTCCCGAAGTTAAATAATATGGAACAGCAAAAAATTGTGAGCATCCAGCTCCAAAGAGCATACAATAATTTATGTGCAATTTCTATAAATATTCAACAGTTCATTATAAACATACAAAAAAATAGTAAAAAAAAAATTAAGAAAAACTAAATAGAAATATATGTTCTAATATTTCCTTCCCAAACCCTAATGACTCATTTCATGCATTCACTTTGGAGATTACGAATCTAGAGAATAACACTCAGAAGATCATGTGTAGTAATTCCATATAGCTAGAAAACTTTCATCTCTATCCCTAGGCTAGCCACTTTGCAAATACACAAACAGCTGACAACAAAAAGCACTGGCAAGAGAATGTTAAAAGATTAGCAGATTCTTTCTCAAGTACAAAAAAAATCAGAGCACAAGCCCTTTTATACCATGCACTACAGTTTTAAAAATCTACAGTCAAGAGAAATTGCACTACCATGTGTGATAAAGTTTAAAGTTAGCATACTTTAGATATATCTAAATGTCAGTTTTTAAGATGAAATACAATAAATATTTTAAATCAGCAATTACTGAAAATAGCTTTTTCAAGATCAAAAGAATGCATTCAAGAGCCTCTGTGACTGGATACCATTCTATCTTCTAGCAATATCTTCCATTACTCCCAATTATGTACTGTTAAACCATTTCTCAAACATGTCCATGCCTTCCACCTCTCTCCTTTGTACAGGCTGGAGTTCTCTCCCTTTTCCCTTCCTTTCTAAATTCTACACATTCTTCGAAGTCCTATTGAGGACCCACTGTAAAGCCTTCAGTGAATCTGCTTCTCCATTACCCCTATGTCCCATAGCCAGAATAGGTCTCTCCTCAGCTGTACTTTCACACAACTTTATTTATACTTACTTCCTTTAAAGTATTTATTATAGTCTTTCTTTTGGTATGGCTGTCTCTCAACTGTAAACTTCTTGAGGGCAGGGATATTGTCTTCTTGGGTTTTTATATTCTCCATAGCAACTAGCACAATGTCTTTAACGTTGTAACTGCTCGATAAATATATACTGATTAAAATGAATACTCAGAAATGCATGTAAACATTTCAAAAAGAAATACAAATGAAGTGACTTACAAAAGATTCTTTGCACAAGGCTATATTTCAAATAATTCTTGGCGGGAGGTGGGAAGAAGAGTGAAAGAGAAAGAGAAGCATGAAATATATGCGTAAAGGCACTAACCCTATCTGGCACGGTGAATAGAGCTCATATCCTAATCCAATCCAAAAAACTTTAAATCTTCAGGGCAAAAAAATAATGGGGCATTTTCTTTGAAAAATTAATCGCCCTTGGACATTTACTAGTTAAAGACCCTATTTGAAAAAAAAAAACCCAAGGGCCCCAAAATTAAATAAAAACCTCCCTCTCCCCGCAAAATGAAAAATTTGGAGGTTTTTTTTTTTTTTTTGACGTTAGAAAATGTATTGACATTTCCCCCGTTGCTTACCTGACGTTATTTCCTGGGTTACGGCCAAACTCAGGCTGCAGCTTGCGCTCTATTTCAGGGGGACACCTGTCCCCACCCCCACCCCCCACCCCCGTCCGAGTAGGTGAAAAACTTCTCAGCCACGCAGAGAGAACAAACTTCCTGATCCTTCGATGCACAGAAGGAATAACACATCAGCTTCCTCAGGATCACTAGGCAACCTACCTTGGTTTCTTCATTGGACCAATCAGAAACCTCCAAGGTTGAGTTCAGCCAATCGGAGCTTACGAGGGGAGGCTCTTCCCCCGCCCGGCTATTGCGTTGCGATCCAGACAAACACCACCAAAAGGAGGCAGGTTTGGGCTCAACCTGACAGCTGGTCAATCCAATGAAGGAACCTTGGTAGAGAAAGGAAAGAGGGCTGCGCTCCCCACCCTCCATTAAACCGGCCAATCAAAGCGTTCGATGAGCTATCACCAGCTGCCGATCTACAAAGGTTTCTGTTGGTCAACCTCAGTGTAGCAGGTGTGTTACTCTAGCAGTGTATACTGTACTGTGACAATTAGGTGAGGTGGGTTGGGATCCAATAAAGCTAAGAATACATAAACATTTAAAAATTGGTTGTTTTCGACAGTTAGCTTATCCCTAACTTTCCTGTTCCAGAAAAACCCGATCTGGGTCAGTTTGTGGACGTTTACTTGGTTTACATTAAACAGAATAGGCACATTTCTACCATAGCATTCATTCTAACATTCGCTATTAGTGCTTGTTACTGGCAAGCCCATGGATAATATATGTTTTTAGAATATGGCTGCTGAAAATGCAAGAGGCAAACAGACTAAGTTTTAAGCTTTTCTTTTCTAGAGCACAGAAAACAGTCAAGTCTGGAACCGGGTCCCAGGTTTCTCACTAAAAGCACAGTATCTTTCACTACTCAAAAGTTCTAGAAAGCGTGCTCAACTCTTGCAAAGTAACATCTACTGAAATGATCTCAAAATTAGTGCCTAAAAATTTTCTGCTATTTAAATAAAAATTAGAAGCCATGAAAGAGTCTAGATGCTGAACAATATTTTATTTATGCTGCCAAAAATGGCAGACTTTAAAATCATTTTGTCTTGTAGTAAAAAATGTTAAAAAAGTTAGAGCACCGATTTTTAATTGTACATTATATATTATGTCAATACACTATATCAAAGTACTGAAGAACATTGTTTTAATAACATGACAGACACAGCCAGTTAAATTGTATAGTTTTAACACAAGTAAAAAGTGAATTACTATCAAAATTTAATACCAAAATAAACATTATTTACTTCAAAAAATGGCTTTAGAGGACCTTAAACGTTAATATATGTTAAAAGAAAGTGTCCACCAAAATGGAAGATAGATCAATATTGAGTAGATAATTAACATAACAAATTATGACACTGGTACTTTTTATTCAAAAGTTCTCCTGAGTTTGTCTCAGATAAGATTAAGGATCACAATATGATAGTCAGCTAAGGATTAATTTTAGTGTACTAACTGCTTAAGACTACATGTAAGTTTTCAGAGGTGGGGCAAACACACCTTAAAACAGTAATATAATGTCCTTTAAATGTTGTGAAGAACTTTGCAAACATGCAGAAAAAAATTTTTTTATGTATTTTTCTTTGGTTCACTAAGTTTTCTTCTTTTTGGCACTGACTCTTGACTAGAAGAATCAAGGTGATGAAGGACCTGTCAAAAGAAAACAACTACTAAGAATAGATACTTTCCAGTTTAAATGTCTTTTAAGTTTTGAGCTTTTTCATGTCTCTGAGGTCCCTTCCTTCCTTCCTTCTTTCCTTTCTTCTTTTAAAAAATTGTAACTAACATACCATTTCCTAAGATAGGATAGCTGGGTTCTCTAAAAGTAGGTAAATTTTATTACTGACATATTTATATCCTGACGGCTGCTGAAAGTATAGCCTTACAAAGTATAAGGTTTTAATTAGGGATGTTGGAGTAGTTAGAAAGATAGATTTGACATTATGTTCTCAAAATAGTAAAATATTTTGAGGGGAATGAGGGGGGAGAGATTAAAAAATGAGCTGCAAATAGAGAAACATTCCACTTTGGCATCATGTAAGATTTAAATCATGTTTTGTTTTTGTATATGGTGCTTAGCAGTGCCTGATAGATTTTAGAAATTCATTGCACCCTTGAATAAATAGGAGGGTGAATTAGGAAAATTGCTAACAAGATTCTGAGTTATAAAACTTTTATTTTTCTGGTAAAACTCACTAATGATACAAATTGGATTATGATTTTGCAGAAAAAAAATCAAGGCTTAATACACTGGGGAAAAAATGAAAGAACCTAATATATCAGGTTATTCCATTCCCTTCTTAAATATATAAATTGAAAACAGTATTAACCAGCTAGTATATTTTTGAGATATTGAGTATATTTTTAACACTTGATTTCTAAAAACAATCTTAAGTTTTCAGTTATCTAATTTTAACCTACTACTAATAATAAAAATTCTGGTTGAAAAAATATAAATATTTATCTCAGAAATGACAAATACATTATCTGATTGGGTAAAATAAGGTTCCAAATATAAGACAACTGTTACAAGATTTAGGTCAGGAAAATTTTCTTTCTTCTAAGGTACTAGGAGGAGATGCTATATTTTTAGAGAACATGTGGATTTGGTAGCTTACCTTTTTCTACTTTCTCTAGAAAGCTCAGATCAAACCTGTGGCCCAATTTTAATTCTATATAAATAAAATGGCCTGAATATTCTTGTACTCTCATTTTCTCATTCTATTCATATTTTTCCTGACATAGATCTTTAAAATTTTTATTTTATTTTTATTTATTTTTGGCTGCATTGGGTCTTTGTTGCTGCGCGTGGGCTTTCTCTAGTTGCGGTGTGCGGGCTTCTCATTGCAGTGGCTTCTCTTGTTGCAGACCCTGGGCTCTAGGCGCGCAGGCTTCAGTAGTCGTGGCACGCGGGCCCTAGAGTGCAGGCTCAGTAGTTGTGGTGCACGGACCTAGTTGGTCTGCAGCATGTGGGATCTTCCCGAACCAGGGATCAAACCTGTGTCCCCTGCACTGGCAGGCGGATTCTTAACCACTGCGCCACCAGGGAAGTTCCCTGACATTGATTTTTATTTTATAAATTCCTCCAACTATTTCAAATCATTCATGGAATAAGACAGTAAATGTTTACATGGAAAAAATAATAAACCACATAGCATATTTTATTTTAAAATCACCCCATTTTTTAGAATCAAATATATTTAAACAAGAGTTGGATACCAGAGCTCTGAGGTATATCCAGGAATATAATCATATTTATCATTAAATTTAATCTATATTAATGATATTCTGATACTTGCTATTTTATTCAGCCTATATATTATTATAAGACTTACTGTTTTTGCAGATTCAAGCTGACTTCTCTTCCG